ACACTGTACAACCATCGCAAGACCTTAGTCTTGCGATGGTTGTAAAGTGATTAAAAAAACGTACGATCTGCCCATCTTGGACAGGCAGATCGCACTCTCGATCATCGCAAGCCCGCCACCTGAGGGGCGGGCTTACGATGACTAATGAGGGGCGGGCTTACAATGACTGCAAACGGGCAGTGTGCGCACACCGGCCCGTTCGGCAGTTGTCGAACCAGCGGGCCACTAACTCGCCGAGAATCGTACGATTGCCGGCGGGTTTTCTAGCATGCTGGTTCGACGGAAGACGTGCGACCGTACAATAGAAACGGTCGCGCGCCTTACTTACACTGCGCGATTCTCGTACGATCGCGGGATTTCCCGCGATTCTTGTACGAGAATCGTGCAGTGTATGGGCATCTTTTATTGTCCTTTTTGTTAAGGGGCTTTGTGTCTGTCTGTATTTTTTGTCTGCTTTTTTTTTTAGCTACACATTCCGGGGCTTAAAATTATAGTTTTTTTAAAATTTTGATAGTATTATTTCAAAGGTGTGTTAAACATACTCTCAGCAACATAAATATTGGTCAGTCTGCTGCTGATTCCCTGTGATTGGTTTGGTTCAGCATTTGGAGAGCTCCGGCAGCAACTTCATTCAAACTTGATCTGTTTTTTTTTCTACATGGTGGTTCTGGGACAATATTAAATGTTGGGGTGTATTCACCATTGTAAAGATTATTAGTAATTTTATTAAAGCGTATATGCCACATACTGTTTGTTTTAGTTTTTAAAGCATAATTTACATATACAAAATCTTGTCTACAACATAAACATTTTTGTCCTTTTGTCCATTTTTTTTTTTGTCCATTTTTTTTTTTATAGGAATAACTGTGAATTAGGATAAGTTAAAGCAGAACTCCAGGGAACTTTTTAATTAACACTTGCAGTCGGGCTACCCCCGCACTGCAAGGGTTAAGTGCACGTTTTGGTCTAGGGAGGAAGATAAGTTATACACTCCTGGTCCTTGGAGATGGCTGGCTAGAACTGTGCACCCTCCAGCCTGTCTCCTCCTCCATTGCAGTGATGTTATGTCCCTCTGTGTCTTCCCGTACTATGGACTGTGTATAAAACATAATGACTCGTCGACCTTAGACTACTGCAGCGTAGGAGAGGGGCTCCAGGGACCAATCTAACAGCCAGCTGCCTCTGAGGATCAAGTGACTTATAACAATTTTTTCCTCCCTAGACCAGAGCAAGCACATAATACTTGCAGTGGGGGGTTGCCCCACTGCAAGGGTTAATAGAAAAATTAGTTTTTCTTAGTAAAAAGCTAGCTGTATTTTATTTTAAATGGTTTATTCCTTCCATTTTAAGGATGTGTGTGTGTAAAAAAACACACACACACACACACACACACTGCACCGATACTTCTGGTATCAGGAAGCCGGGCAGCGTGTATTGACGCTTTGGCCAATCAGGAAGCCAGTCGCCGAGTAATGATGCGGCGCCCGGCTTTCTGATTGGTTTGGAAGCTGGCTTCATGCTCCCTCGTCGCCTCATGGCCAATCAGGAAGCCGGGTCCATGCTTTCTAGTCACCTAGTGATGAGAAGCATGGGAACGGCCTCCCTGCTAATCGGGAAGCCAGGTGGCGAGTCTTTACACGCCGCCCTGTTTCCTGGCTAATCAGGAAGCCAGGTGGCGAATCAGTACACGCCGCCTGGCTTCCTGAATGGGACTTCCGGTACTCGGTATCGGCGAGTACCGGGAAAAAAAAACCGGTACTCGTACCTGATACCGAAATATCTGTGTGTGTGTGTAAATGTTTTTAGGCAGGTGTGAAAAATGCTGTAAAGCAAGAATGCTTTTACAAATAAAAGTGTAATAGTTTGTTTTGATCAAATAATAAAATGGAAAGTAAATGAATAGAAGAGAAATCCAAATCAAATTATTGTTGTGACCACCCTTTGCCTTCAAAACAGAATCAAATCTTCTAGCTACACGTATACACAGTTTTTGAAGGAACTTGTCAGGTAAGTTGTTCCAGACATGTTGGAGGACTAACCTAACAGATCTTCTGTCTCCATGTAATCCCACACAGAGTAAATTAAAGTTGAGATCAGGGCACTGTGGGGTCCAAACCATCACTTCCAGGACTGTGGCTGTGTGTTTGGGGTTGTTGTCCTGCTGCAGAATGAACTTGGGGCCAATCACACGCCTCCCTGATGGTATGGCTTGATGGATAAGTATCTGCTTGTATTTCTCAAGATATAGATAGATAGATAGATATAGCTCTATAGATATATTTTTTTTCTCCAATTTCTTTTTTTTATTTAGTTTTTTTTTGTATAATCCCTTTGCGAGGGTAATGGAACCAATGTGCTTCTGCCTTTGCTGACCAATTTGTCTTGCTGCCCACATATGCTATTTAAAGCCTACATTCTGAACAGCAGAATCTTTCACATTGACAGCTGAATCTTTGGAGAAGTGGAAGGGTTAAGGGCATTTGAGCCACTTGATATTGTTCCAGCATAGGTGTTAATTACTTCTATTCCTAAGGCTGTTAGGATCATTACTTAGAGATGTTCCACTATTTTGATTTGAAAACAATCGCCTTCGCTTTCAAAGCCACTATGAAGTATGCAGGCTCAATGCACACATGGTAGAATACATGTGCAGTATTGCGTAGGTTATGAAATCTTAAAAAAGCCTCAAAATAAACTGCCCAGCACCCATTTATTTTCCACTGCCTAATATTAAGTCTGTGCTGTTACTCAAATGTGGCATGTGTTTAGCACACACCTGTCTTTGCCGATTAAATATTGCTAAACCATTTTCAAGTTTTTTTAAATCTGCACTGCCTGTGAACCTTAAATTTTGTTAGGGAATCTCATTAACGCAGAGCCAGCTTAAAATCCTAGACAGGGCAATAATTTAAAAGGCTAAACCAGTTGTTTGAGACATGCAGGCCATCATAGTGTAGAGTTGAACTGCAGCTTGTTGCCCTGGATTTGGGATTACAAAATTGTGTGCTTTAGGAAAGTACCTGTGATGTATTAAGCGTTCTGGGATTTTATTTAAATGTTGGTATGTGATTCAACCTTCTACCCCCTTTTAAGACCAAAACGATGCTTGAGTAGTTTTACTACTCTTGCATTAGATGTTATTCAACATTGAAGTGAATTTACCAAAATTGGGGCAGAATTGGAAGCAGTTGCTCATAGTAACCAACTTCTCTCCTTTTCAAAGCTTAACTGAAAGATGGATGCTGATTTGATTACTTTTGGCAACTGCTCTAGGTTCGGTCTGCTCCAGTTTTGGAAAATTCCTCATTGTATACAACTCTCAGGTATATGTACATTTACAAGTCAAGTTTTCTTGCGACAAGCTGGTTTTGGTACACAAGAAGAATTAGCAAAATCTAGGCAGCGGGAATGGCATATGTTTTTGTACAAGTTCTGAGAGTAAATGAATGTGCGCCTCTATAATAAAAGAAAATCTTGTTGCTCTAAAGTTTTCAGACTTGATATTGTTATAATTAAACTAGCCTTAGTTTAATAAGATGGCATAATCCCTTGTGTTTCCATTATAAAATGTTATCCCCATGATTACACGTACCTCTTTTTGGCAAGGAAAATTTGCCAACTACTAACACATGGTGTTTTCATAAAAAATATTGTATTCTATCGAAACTTTTTCTCATATTAGCATTGGCCCCCAGGGTAAGTTTTGAGGTTCGATCTCCTCAACAGCAACACCAATTGCAAGCCAGAGTTTCTAACCTCTCTCCATTAAGGGCAGGTTCACACCATTTTCCGGACAAGATCTGGTCCGGAAAATGGTGTGAACCTGTCGGTTCCAGTGCATTCCAGACAAGACGAAATGAGACATGCAGTATTTGTCTGGTCTGGAACGGACTGCGCTGGTGTGAAGAGGCCAGAAATAGCATAGGGATACATTAGAATGCAATTTGGGGCTGGAAACAGTCTGGTCTAGAGATGAATGGGCCAACCAGCAAAAAAAAGTGTTGGCTGAAGTTATGATTTAGGGCTTGTTCACACCATTTCCGGATCATGTCTAGACCGGGAAGGTTTGTTCCCGGACCAAAAAAGCATCCCAGTCTATCACTATGGTATTTCTGGGCTCTATTCACACCAGTGCAGTCTGTTCCATTCCAGACTAAAAAAAATACTGCTGGTCATTTTCTCTGGTCTGGAATGCACTGGAACACATGAAAATGCATCAAAAACATATGAATGCATGCAAATGCACTGCACATGAAAGCCCATTTTAAGTAAAAAAAAAACCATAAAGTGGCAAAATCAAAGTAAAACTGCACTGCGTTTTAGGGCTGCAACAACTAATCGATTATAATCGATTATTGAAAAAGTTTTCAATAATCGATTAATCGGCTTCCGATCAGTTGGCCCTGTTCACACCTCCTCATCACCTCACGCTCGCCGCTGCCAGACCTGCATCCACGCGCCGCACCTCCTCCCCGCCTCACACTCACCGAGCAGATCTGCTCCAAATCTGGACATGTGAACAAGCCCTTAATGTTTAAACCATGAACCATCACAAACATTTTGTGTTTTTGTGTTTTTAAACTTTGGTTTGTTAAACACATTCAGTGGTATATTTATCTGTTGGTTAAGTGCAAAAAATACATGTTGACCTTGTCCGAGATTTGAAGTCACCCTCCTAGTTGTCTTGCGATTAAAGATTGTCTATGTTATGAAGATAGGGGGTGGGTTTTAGTAGTTTAGCAAAAGGACAAGTGCACCTAGATGCTGTGCTTTGTTGGCCTAAAACATGACTTAGGAACTGAGTGCATTTTTTGGCACATTGACTGGTATTTTTCAGTACTCGCAGATTCTTTTAAAACGATAAAATATGGGGAAATGTGCATTTATTGCAGAGATGTACTGATTTTTTTTTTGCCATGGCATACACTTTAAGTATACAGCAAATGAATACTGCTCCTGATGGTGGCAATTTATTCACGGCTTGTCTTTTATGGATGCAGGTAATAAAACCAGAGGTTTGTGAAGGTATACCTGTTACAACAGCTACAACTTCGCATAATGACACCGGTGGTGCTGGGAGTCCAGATCTCATTATAGAAGCACAGTTTGACAGTGGTCCAGAGGATGATGACTGCAATAGACTGGCCAGTAAATTGAAGGATCTTTCAACTGTAAAAGGTAACCTTTTAATTTGCAGATTATATTGTTTTTTTCTATGCATACAAAGTACTTCATTTTCCTTAACAGATCTGTTGAATTGCAAGCAGTCTGCCGAATACTGGCTCTTTTACAAAGAATTGCAAGCTTTTGTTTTTAGTGAATGTTAAATTAACACATGCAAATGTTTAGATTATGCATATATTCTAGTATGAGTAATGAAGTTATTAATATTTGTGCAGATATATACTGAAGTTCTAAACCGTCAATTAAATGTTGGGAAAAGGAATATAGGGAGGGGGCTAACAGGGTAGTGGTAATCTCTATGAATACCAATTAGTAGATTTCCATCACAGTAAAAGCAAACCTTTCCAGAAGTCCTAATACCCAGGGCTATCTATTATGCCAATACCAACTTTCCAGAACAGTAGCTGGATCCTGGGTTGCTTCCCATGCTGTGTGTGGTTTTTCTCTTTCCTTTTCAGTAGCGCTGTCAGTTTTGGTATTGGCCAGTAGGGAGGTAGAGGAGGATGGGATGGGCTCATTCTCAACCCTATTACTGGTCTTGTGCTTCAAATAGAAAAGGATGTGACTAACATTGAGGACCTGAATTGTGAAAGTTGTGCCCAGAAAAGGGGGAGCAGAGGGCAAAGGACTAGTCACTAGTATTGCCTATAGGCTCACTACTAATCATTTCCTTATTACTGCCTTACTTTTTCTTCTGCACTGTCTGTAGTGGTGGCCATCTTGGCAGAGCTTTGCTTTCTCATGTCTGAGATGCTCTTCTGAAGACTGGTTGAGAATGGTTGAGACGCAGCAGGAGATGTGCCTAAATCTACAGAATTAAAATAAATGCGGTGTTCTCTCTAGCAAAAACAATGAGTAGCACATTAGAGACATCACTAAATGCCACGTAGTTAGACGTGGCAGTGCGTTGGCTGTCTATCTGTAGTGTGAAATCATCTAACACAGGATGTACACTATTATTTAGGAGAAATTTAAGGTCCGAGGATAGTTTTCTGGATACTGCTTAGGATCTATTATCATTTCTAGATGTTCTGCGTAAAATAGCAGATTATCACTTTTTTTGAATTTTTGAAAGTCCACTTTATCAGCCACCTCCATCTCTAACCACCACTTCCTCTTTCAAGCCTCTACCCCCTCCTTTTAAGTGCACCTGCATGTGTCCTTTGGATGGGTCCTACATGCTGCATCCTGTAATTCAGTGAGCCCTGATGAAGTATATTGTGTGAGTGGGTTGTTGATGCCCTGCCTAGTAGGTTTAATGGTACAGTTTTCAATCCAGAAGAGAATTGGCCTTGGACAAATGGGAGTGGTAACTTTTTTTTTTTTATAAGTGGCATACTGACAGTCTGAAAATTCGCCTCAGTGCAGCTGATCAGTCCATCATGTCCTGATGTTTGTTGCATCCATGCCATTCCACAAATTCTGTATATGAAATCTCTGCAGTCTGAGTGGGCTAGCTTTGGATAGTGGCTTACAAAGAAGCACCGGGGCAAAGTAAGGACAGATAATTATGCTAATGCACAGGAATTACTACACAGACTTGAGTGGTGAAGTATTTTTTTTTGATAAGCACAGCATAGTGAAAATGGCAGCTACAAATTATGAAAATCCTTTCAAAACCGGGCAAAGATTCAAAAGATTAGACAAGCCTACACAAAATGTTTCTAGAGATGGAAGCTTAAAGCTACATGGACATTTTTTTAAAGCAAAGCTCCATTTAGATATTTAATACATAATTAAATGTATTTTTTTTTAAAACAAGTTATGTAAATGAACTATAGCTGGTATTAGCCTCCGCCTCAGACTAGGAGAGGGAGAAGCAGCACATGAGAGCCTACCATATGTTCTGCACTGTTCATGTATTATCAAGGGATATGCTAATAAGAGGAGAGGATCTATTGAGCTTATCAGCTTGCTGCTTCTCCTTTCACTGTTCAGTTGCAGGCTTGAGGGAGGGAGAAAAACGGTAAGTGTGAAAACTGCAGCAGGAAAAAAAAATCAGGCTTCCCACCCAGCGCAGATGTCTGACAGAACTGTCTAACTCTCAGAATTTTGATGTACAGAAATACATATCCTTTGGCAGGTTAAAAAGTTTCTCGGTTTTCCAGTAAGGGACACTGTAATTGAGGAACTGTTGCGTTATACTTCCACCTTCAGGAGACTTGGACGCTGATGAACAGAATTTTTAAGCCAACCTTATGTAGCCCTCCTCATCCCAGCATGCCTCAGTTTTTTTGTTGGTGTCTTAGGAGGTTGGAGGATGGTTGGTGGTTTCAGCTGTGCTGAAAGTCTATATTTTTTGCAATCCTTCCACCCTTTGTGGAGATAACTTCCTTGTTACACTGCTGCCTGAGCTGGTTGCTTTATAGCAGCTATCCAGATTGGTATTTTCCCAGCAAAAGATTTGGGGGCTGTACCTGGACCCGGCTGGACTAGATGTGCGGTGCTAGCCTAGAATTGGACTTTTGAGATTCTGTATTGTGGCACTTTCTAGACCTTTGTGTACTGTGTTGGACACAATGGGGGGAATTTATCAAAACTGGGGCAGAAGGAATCTGGAGCAGTTGCCCATGGCAACCAATCGGCTTCTTTCTTCAGTTCAGTTAAGATTTGAAAATGAAGGAGAGAAGCTGATTGGTTGCCATGCAAAGCTGCTCCAGATTTTGTCTGCTCCAGTTTTGCTAAATTCCCCTCAGAGTTTTTTCTAGGTCCAGAACCATGGCACAGCCTCAGGTTTGGCCCTGTCGCTGAAGACTCACTTTATGACTGAGGTTGGTCAAGCTGAAGCATTGGGAGCTACCTCACAGTTTGCACCATTTGAGTGCCTTTTGAAAAATTCCCCCTACTCCTGGTTCTTGCTGCTGTAATAGGCTGTATGATGGAGTGATAGGTGATGCTACATTCTCTCACCTATTCAGTTTGAAGGAAGCACCATCCTGCTACTGTTCTGCTGAAGCACCACATGCATCTTGGATCTTTTTAGTTTCAGTGCCCACCTATAGTGCATTGGTCACTTTTAGCCACCTGAAATGCACATCAGCACCAGCTGCCTGTGTACTTTCTTCACATTGGACCTAGTTGCTTACCGGCACGTGGCACAGTGTCTTCCCAAAGACACCCAAAAGGTATACTTGTAGTTTTGGGGGCGTTTATCTGGTATTCCCAGATGGAACTGAACCCTGTAATTTGAAACATGGGTTGTTATAGGGTCATTATCAGTAAATTCTGTTTTCAATTGCAATGGACAGTGCTGAGGCCCGTTCATGTCAACAGGAGACTACAGGTCCACTCTGGACTTACTAGCTTCGGTGCCAACCCCAGCGGAGTCTATGATCCTCCGGGGGCCTCAAATTCAAACCGGGCCTTCACCACCGTTATCATTTCTGATGGTGTCCCCAACAGTCAGCATTAGGAGATGCTGTTTTTGGGTTACTGCAGTTGACTCCGATATACAGGGGGTTGTTTCAAACCTTAGTGATACAGTGCATATTCACTTGCATCTGGAAGCTTAGCCTGCTGTTCTGTGCCTTCAGAGCTTTTGAAGCTGCGAAGACCTTTCCCCTGCATAGCCTGCTGTTCTGGGCCTTTTTAGAGCTTTTGAAGCTGCTAGTGCCTTTCCTCTGCAACCACATTTCAAGGCATTTCATCGACTGGAAACTGCTTTGAGGGTCCTGGGCCCCTCTTGAGTATTGCTGAAAAGTTTTCCTCATGAAGTGTATTTCCATCTTTTGTATCAAAGTGATACAAAGGTGTTTTACCAGTAGAATATGTCTAAATATAATGAAGGGAATTTTATCAAAACTGGAGCAGACAAAATCTGGAGCAGCTGTGCACGACAACCAATCAGCACCTCTCTCTCATTTTCAAATCTTAACTGAGCAAACTGAGGAGAGAAGCAGATTGGTTGCCATGCACAGCTGCTCCAGGTTTTGTCTGCTCCAGTTTTGATAAATTCCCCCCAATGTGTAAGACAGACGCTAACCTGTGAAGCAGTTCTCAGAGTTTCAGTCAATGTTTTACGTCCAGCCATGGTGGATTTTTCAAATTTCCCTCCATAGGAAACAATCTGTCCAAATGACGGGCTCTTGGATAGGTTTTCAAGATGGAAATGGGATCTGTGCTGATCTCCCAGAGGAGTGAAAGAGCTGGACTGTCTTATCTCTGACTGACACACTCCTCCACAAGCACCAGCAGAAGGTTTTTTTTCAAACATTTTAATAAATACCAATGGCGTTAAATAGAGGAGCACCGAAATGAAAATTTTAAAACCAAAACAAAAAAATTGTCAGACTGAAACCTATACCGAAAATGTTTATTTTAATTTTCAAATGTAATTTTTATTTTTAAAAAAAACTTTACATTTTGTTATATTTATTTTTTTATTAAATTTTTATTTTTTACATTACTTTTAGGGGCTTTGGGGGAAATATTAGGGGTCTAAACAGACCCCTGATATTTCCCTTTTAAAATAGAGGACTTTGTGTTCTCAATCTCTTTTTCTTTTTCTATCTCTTTTTCTGTGTCCAGTGTTATCAATGAACAGGAATCCTGTGAGTGTTCCTGTTCATTGATAACATAAGGACATTGTATGTTTGTTTACTATAACCACAACTATGCTTGAACAGGAGGAGATGTAGATCACTCCCATTCATTCATAATAGAGGCTATGGTTAACATACCATATCCTCAATTATGTACACACACTCAGCGATCACCGATCGCTGAGTGTGTGTACCTTGCTCTTCTCTCTGACACGCTGTCACAGGAGGCTGATCGAGCGGTGTAGAGAGGAAAGCCCAGCTTCCTGTAACAGCGCTGTCTCCGCCCCCACACCGCTCTGCCGGACTGTGATAGGCGGCTGAGCGGTGTGGGAGGAGACGCCGGCCGCTCATTGTGCTCTCCTCTTACAGCGCTCGGCTGGCTATCACAGTTTCTCTCCTCACGGCTGGAACATAGAGCAGTGCCCAGCGGGGAGGAAAGAAATCAGGGATGCG